AACTGCTGCGGGGTAGTGATTCCGGGAGAGAACTTGAGGAAAGAAAAGCATCTCAGCTACACAGCCAAGAAAGGGAACTCTCTGTAACCAGGAAATATGAGGGCTGCAAATGAGGTTGTAGTCATATAGTATAAACCAACAGTTACGATTTAAAACTCTGTATGTTAGTTCTGATGCTGGGGCTGGGTTAAGACTGCACACATGGTCAACTATGGCTCAGCTATTAAGCAATACCTTGCCAAACCATGCAATTGATCACTTCTAATCATGTGACAACAACTTAACATGTCAAGGGAGGTATACTCCAATGCAAATTATTTTTCACCATCTGTTTATTGCGCAAATATTTTTACTCCCTCCATTAGTTACCATCTGCAGGATAATATCAGTCAGTTTATAAAACTTTATGTCAAAATGCAAACAATAAAGCCAATTCACCATCATTGACTTCTTTGCAATATTCATACAGAATTAATCCCAACTGTTGTATTGTAAAGATATAATTCTATACGTTCCTAAATCAAATCAATTATTTTTAAATGGAATTGGAAATTATTGTTCAGTAATTTAGATGTCTAAATGATGAAAAGCAGATGTACTGTTAAGCACACATTATTTTATCACGTGGGGTTTCTCCTATACCTGCTTGTAAGAAAATAACTTTATCTAACTCCAGACTCCAACAAACCAAAGAAAAAAACATAGCACAACAGAACCTCTGTAAAGTATTTGCTTTCCATTCGCATGGCTAAAAAAAAAAAAAAAAAAAAAATCACTGAGTTGCATGTAACCAGATGTCCTTTAGAAGGTTGATTCAGAAACTGCCCTTGAAAAAAAAAAAAAAAAATCAAGTTATTGTAGTCCAGTTAACTTGTTCTTTAAGTGTTCTTTTCCCAGATATGTTAGCTAATTTTAATGTTTTTTCTTTTTTTTTTTGATTACTAATAATGATATTTACTACACCTGATTTTTATTTTTACAATTAAAAGCATTAAAGTTTTAATATTTTCATCATAATAAAATTTAACATTTTGTTCAGTGCAACATTGCATTGTTTCATTTGGTAAATACTGGAAACTATGTTCTTTTTCAGAACAGAAAATTCTAATGTAGTGATTTTCACAAGCAGATTCCACAGAACAATGTTCCATGATATTTATGCCAATGGTTCACAATAAAGATCAGGAATCTATAGGTGCCATGAACATAACCTTAGAGGCATTGTACAAATATCAAGAAACTTACTAAGAGAAGCATGATATGTACCAATTAGATTTATATAAGTCCTCGCTACTTCAGCACAGAAGCACTGGTAAAACAGATGCTGGCTTGCTAACTGCTCGTGACAGTGAGGCCTACTTCCTGTAGAAGCTTAACACTTAAAAATGCACAGAACCTGTACAAGGATTTCAGCACTGACTGTATGTCTTCACCTTTCAATCAAGGGGACATGCATTTTCTTCCTGCTTTAACAAAAGCTTTGCTATAGCCATAACATCATATTCTGAGTAGTTCGGGTAAACTTGTTTTGCAAGAGCAGGAGTACATGTCAGCTCATGCTGTCCTCTCTGCAGAGAAGTGCTTACAGTTTCCTTACCAGTGGTAATAATTAAAATATATTAAATTCAGCAGCACTGAGGTAAAGACTCACTGATCAGAGTGCAGAACACTTCAGACAAAGGCCTATCACCCTTCCTTGTATTTCATACCCACAGATTAGATTACTGATTCTGGCTCATAAATATTTAGGAAAACTTGTCCTTCTAGTGGGTATACATCTCTTTATCTCGTGATGCTTCTGAGGCACATGTTCAACAGCAAGGCTGTGTGATCTCAAAAATACCATCTAGTTTCCTGTTTCCCCATATCGTTTCTCAAGTACCTTTTCTTCTCTTTGTTTCTAACTGCTTCTCTTGCAGAAAAGGAAAAAGGAGAGAATATTGCTTGTAAATTCAATCCTCATTATACACAAACAGTGCTCACAGAAATTGGGCAAGTACATACCAGTTCTCTAACTCAGAGTTGTGACTCACATGCAGAAATTCACCATTCCGTGGTTTGGCTCTGATATTTAACCTTATATATATATGTACATTGTATTTATAAGACCACTAACAAATCCAGGTAGAGAACTGACCCATGTGGATAGGTAATGCAAATACATAATGCACACTTGCATTTTGGCAAAACAATTAAAAACTTGCAGATATACAAAATGAAACGATTCTGAAAATCTCTACATCTAGCTTCATAGGAAAAGTAATACTACAGCTATTTAAAAGACACTGGTATATTTACTGGAACACTCTCTAGAATGCTTACACCAACAATCCCATGAAAACAAATAGATTTACATTTTTTAAACATCTAAAGGAAATAGATTTGTTCAGTGTTTCTTAGAATACATCGTGTGCCATTTGCCACTGTCAGGTCCAACTCTTGCAAAACAGAATGACAGAGGTGAGGGTGAGGGTTTTCAGCAATGACATCTGGATTTACTATCGTTTAAGAGCATTTTAAATGCCAAAGATTAAGCTTTAAAAGAAGTATCAATGTAAAGAACACATAGAGAGTACAAAGTGGTGAAGTACAATTGACTGAAGGGATCAAACACTAAGATGACAGAGCTCCACATCTCATGAAGGCTCATTAACCACACAGCTGAACACCAGAAAGTTTTTCCAACATTCTCTATTGGCCATGAATAGAAAGGTGATTGAATAAAGAGGAAAGAAAAAAAGAAAAAGAAACAAGGATGATTGGACTTTAGAGGGACTGGGAAATTGACATTTTGCAGTAGAAGGAAAGATGTGCCAGATTAATGTACAGCAGCAATTAGGTTTGTTGCTAATAAAGAAATTCATCAGATCTGAAATCTGGATTAAACAAAAACAAACAAACAAACAGCATTTAACCACCTCTGTAAGCTCAACTCAAAGAAAGCATCTCAACTTCACTGGGTTTTTTTAAACAAAAACAAACCAAAAACAAAACAAAACAAAAAAAAAAACAACAAACAAACAAACAAAAAAAAAACACAAAGGAATGAAAACCTAAGACTAGGAGGACTTTTTTTTTTTTTAAGTCTCTTTCTACTTAGCCTTCTGTTCCTTCCGTACATATTGCTAGAATATATGACTCTTTTTGCATTGAATTTGCCAATATTCACCATCTCCTAAGAGAAGCATCATGCACCTTAAGTACTGTGTTCTTGGCTTACTTCAAGGTAAGTCCTTGAAAACTTTTGTGAATGATTCCAGAAACAAAGATAAATCAAAGTATAGCACTACTATGTAAGTCTGATATTCATGGCCTTAGATGGACAGGATGCTTCTTCAAGTAAATTAATTCTAATGTAAAATATGATTATTCAGTGCCCCAAAATACTCTTGTTCTTTTATTGAAAATATATACACAAGGCTCTATCCGCTGCTGGCATTCTAATTAAAACAGTTCATGCACAAAACAAGGTCAGAAGAAAAACAGATTCTGGCTTAAATAAATAAATAAATATACTTTTGTCACTTGGAAACATTAACTTGCTCCTCTTTAAGCTTTTCCAATCCCTTTTTGCATGACCAACTTATTCTAAAAATACTAATTAGTATAGGTTTTTGACTATATTATAAGTGTAGAATTCTCTTTGCCATTTCCCCTGCAAGTTTGGAATTTAGTAAGGAAAACAACTGTTAATACCTTGCATTTTACATTCACATACATGTAGTTCCAAGATTTCAATTTCCCCTACTGGAAATTTCTGCCTGAAACAATAGTTTAACTCACAAGTAAGTAATTCTCCAACTGAGTACTGAATTGGAGGATGAGGAGGATTTTTTTATTTTAACTGATTTCTATTTGTTATTGAAACTATTTCTCCATACTAAATCTACTTGTGAGAGAATCACATTAATAAGACATAGAGGATTGTGATAATGTTATTCTTCTGGCTTTGAAAGGCTATTTAAATCTTTTCTATGACACGATATAGGCCAAATTGAATTGGATAGAGTGTAGGGGGATTACCGCATGGTAGCCACACATCATTCCATTAATCACACTCTAACCTTTCAAGCAGTTCAGCACCCTCTCCTCACATATTACATCCAGATTCTTAAGCAGAGAGAAGGATAAGTAACCAGATAGAACCTGGTGGTTCCTGCTATTTCACTACTCAGTGATTTTATCTCAACTGTTCTTAAGCTGTCAAAGATGGCAATCACACTTCTCCACGCTTGTACATAAAGACCACCTTCAGTAGGCTGTTTATTAGGCCTAGATCCATTAAACGTTAAGCTCTCTGCCCTGAGAGTTGAATTGAGAAACTTACATGAGGCAGCATTTATGTCTGTTGTCTCTACTTGGCATAGAGTCTGGCAATTTGTCATTTTATAAAAAATTGCGGTTATGATGAGTAGTGGTGCTGCTTTGTGCTAATCAAAGCAGGAAGTGGGAACTTGAGTCTTCCCAAGATGCACCTTTCCTGAAAGGCCTATATATCTGACTTTATCTCTCTACAGTCAAGTCTTGTTAGAATCATATAAGTAAAGCTGGAAACAAACAAACAAAAATGAAAAGCCAAAGCTACTGGTTGAGCCGTTAAGCAGAGAGCTCAAAAAATAAACCCTTACCTGTGCGCTCATACAGTGATCTGTTTGAGATGGTGCTTTGGAATAGCATCCAGGATGGGGCAGCCAGTACCCATAGGGCACCTGGACATGTAGCCCTCCTGCTTGCCTTCCTTGTCTCTTTCCTTCCCTCTGAAATTTACCATTGGGGCTGCTCACTGCTGCCAACAACAGCTCCAGGTACGCCGCTTGCTGCCTGCCTGCCAAAAGCCAGCACCCCCCCCAGCTGCCATTTCACAACAGGCCTGAACTGGAGCCTTCCTATCTTCCTACCATGCGTGCCCTCCTCAGCAAACTACAGGAATAAAGGATCTAGACAGTTAACGGACAACACATTTAAACAATTCAGCCAAGTACCACAGTCAAAAACCTCACCTTTCTAAGCATCTCTGTCAGGCTTTCTTTAGAAAGAAAACCAGAAATTCTCCTGGAGTGAGGCCTTTCCTCAAAGGAACGTTCCTCATTCTTCTCACAAAATGGCGGCAACTGTGTTGTGTGGGAGAGGCTGCAGGCTGAGGTAGCACCCAGTGGCAGTCCCTCAGAAGCAGTATGATCTGTAGGGTAGTATTACACTTATCAAAACTGTGCCACAGGACAGGAAGGTGACCCCTTAACAGCATCAGAAAGCACAAATACAGCAGGGAGGGAGGTGAGTAGAGGGGTTGAGGAATCACACCTGTGTGGAGTTTCTGTGATTAATCTAGCAGCTGTCGTGCGTAAATGAGTAGCCAGAGTTTTTTGTTTCTTTGTTTGTTTGTTTGTTTTTTCCCTAAGGAGTATATTCTGAGGCCCTAGAGCTAGGGTCTTCCTTTCTTTTTCAACATAAAGTTATTCTTGGCAGAATTACTTAATTTTGATAAGGAATGTAGAAAAATATATCCTCAGTAGGCCTGTCTCCTCAGAGGTGGCCATTTGCAGGTTTGAGTAGACAGCATAATATAATGTTCCCTACAAGAATATCCATTAATCAGGGTTTCATAGTCTTTCTGTTTCCAAGTTGTATTCAGATGTGGTTTTGAGGTAAATGTTTTATTCTGCTATGTCCAAACTTGGCCAAGTTAAGGACTTAAGTTTAACATGAAGAAGTGTGCATTTTGGAGCTCAGCCTTCCTTAGGATCAGTTGAGCGAGCTCTCAAGATCATAATTCTGGACTCATGGGGAATTTAGGTGCTTGAGTCCCATTTTATGAGTTTACATCTTTCTTTGAATCTGTCCCTAAGGCCTTTAAGTACAACAACTGATTTTCAATTCCTTGTTTTTTTTTTTTTTTTTTCCTGTGCATTTTGATTATAACTTTACCTTGGAGGGACGAAGTTGACTGAGAAATTTTTTTCTTGTGAAAGCGAAATGTGAATTGTGAAGGAAAATGGGCAGCCAGTTTTTAATATAAGCTTAACTAGTAGTAACGTACCAAGTGGAGTTTGATTAATAAGAAACAGATTCAACTAATTATAAGACATGGAGTAAATGTTCTTTCACTGATTCCCTCAACCAACTTGCCCCCAGTGATTAATTGTAATAGCATTTTACAAGTAGACAGATTTAAGCACATGCATAATCTTATAAAGGATTGAGGTCTAAATCTTGTGTAGAGGTCACATTACTGTTCAGACTAATGATTCCCCATGTATTTGTTCAACTCCAGCTTATTGCACCATGGTATCTAACGACAAGAGCCTAAATTCATATGTTAATAGCAAAAGCAAAGATTTGGAACAGAAACTTGTAGGAATGAGCTTTTGTAGAGCTGTTCTGGACAGTCCTTTTTTTATTTAAATAGATGGGTCAGTGACCTCCATCATCCTCATACCTGTGCTCAGTGTTCCACTGTGCAGCACAATCCCTTGATTGAGAAGCGCTATTAGGAAGCTCAGCCAGTTGAAAAATCTGACCCGCTGAACACTCTTAGGTACTTTATAATCAAATAAATGATCACATATATTCTCTGCTGACAGTTTATGTCTGTCATTGCAGAACTGCTGAATATTGTTAATGTGCCTACAGCTCTGTAATGAATCGTTTTGTCACTTTGTTTTAACTTCTTTAACAAGTTTGTTTTACTTTCTTATTTTTCAGCACTTTAACTAATGGAACTCCAAATTTCCCCCATAATGTTGCAGCACAGACATCCCTTAGTAAGTTTGTTTTTAACATTTTTAGCTTGTATGTTATAGTATTTGGGAATTTTTACTTGGGGATGGGGAGGTATTTACTTTTTTTTTTTTTTTTTGGATCATCAAAGGTGAATTCAAAGCTTATCCTTCAATTAACCCATGTAGAATTTCTCAAATATATTGTAATCTAAATGAATAAATATTAAAATATCTTTTAAAATGTTTCTATAAATATTGATTGCTTTTTTTCTGTTCCTTAACTTGGTAACACTATTTCAAAAAGCACATAAAATTCTCAAAACAATCAACAGTTAAATTTATTTCAAGTTACTGTCCTGGCCCCTACCACCTCCTGCTTTGAGTTAGGTTGAAATTATAATTAGCCAGATATGTAAATTTGCTATTACCCTCATTACATTATAGCAGATTAAAAAAAAAAAAAAAAAAAAAAAGTCTTGAGGTACTCTGTAGTAGAGGTAAAATGGCAATGTTAGCTACCTAACCAGAACGTGTTAGAATTATGAGTGAAACTGAGCTATACCTTTGAGCTTCATTTACCCTTTACCTTTGATGCAAAACTCGAACAAGCAGAAAGACTTGTTTTTAAAGATAGTCATTATTTGGCTTCTGTAGAGCAAAATGATTAAAGGTATATTACAAGCTCTATTCTTTTCTTGTTGAACATTATGATTTACCACTGGAAGGAGCTAGAGTAATGATGTTGAATTACTGAAGAAGCCACCATTATTTAACCAGCAAAATGGTTAAATAATCTGTGAGAAAAGGAAAAAGGGAATCAAAATCTTACCTGAGAGAAAGAGAAAGGAATCAGTTATTTTCTGAGATGCAGAGGGCTGTTCTGATTTAGAAACTCTTACGTATGAAAAATGGGTCATATGAAAAGCAAGTATGATAATTTTAAAATGGAAATTATTTTCTTCTGTTAAAAAATAAATTATGTGGGTGGAAACAGAGGGAAGTTAGCAGAAAGAAAAAGCTGCTCAGATAAAACAGATTGTCTGTCTTGCCCAGCAAGGCTGCAAGGTCATATAGAGGGACTGTTACCTAAAGTAAGGAAGTGACTCATTTTATTAACCAGATTTTTTTAGAGTTTGTTTGTTTAAATCTCATCATTTTCATAAGGATGATGGAAATAGATTAATGTCTTGAAAAGAATAGAAAGCCATCTATTGTGTTTGTGTTTTTTTAGTCTCTTTGTAATGTAATTCTCTCCTGTTTAAATGTCATTCATCTTGGACGCTTTCACGTGTTTCACTCTCAAAAATGTGGTTTTAACTTCTAATTTAGGGGAGGGTCAGAGGAAGGTGTGCATGGGGAGGGGGTGTGTGTGTTAAAGACTAGCAGAATATTTATCTCATTGTGAGGTGCAGTAGTTAAACTTATTTTAAGCAGAGTAGTTTTGCTGTGCAGCAGACTGAACCAGTAGGTGCCATAGCTCAAGCTTAGTACAAATGGTCAGCGAAGTGCAGCAAAAAACAGAGCTGGCCTAGTGCAAATGTGGCCTGTAAATAGTACCAAGGGTGGGCTAGATAGTGCTTCAAGGGCACAGTGCAGACTTGCTCCAGCAACTTTTAAAATTGATATCAGAACTCATGTTAACTATGTAATTAAGCCATCTTATATGTGTAAGATAATGTAAATGTGTGATTTTACATTTTACATTAGGAGCTAAATAATCATCTAAGTCTCTTTTCATCATAAATTGGTAGCTGACATTTACTTTGTCTGTCATACTCAAATACTAATAGCATACCTCAGCTAGGTAGCTCATTCAATGCAATTTTTCTTCCCATGTTCCTCCATCACTGCAGGTTTGGTTGTTGATTATTTTTAATTAGTATCTTTGTTGTTGTTTGTTGAGTTTATCGTTGTTTTGTCCACAGAACTGGTACTGCTATAGCTTGATCTGTCACCATGGCTAAGAAAGGCATGTGATGCTGAGAGGCAAACTCAGCACAAACTTAGTGAGCTCTTTCATATTTGCTTGTATGTGTTATTAGAACAGCGAAATTTGTGCCTATTGTCTTTGTTCTAGTCTTACAGCAAAAAACTCTGATGAAGAATCAATCATCCAAACTGATTATCATCCTGTCTGGATTCATTCAAGAACTAGTGTTGAGCTACATACCTTTATCCCATCCTAATGTTCATTATTGATGTTGCTATAAAAGACACTTTACACTGAATGAGAAAAAGTAGGTGGTAGAAAGAGTTTTATCCCTGGTGAGGCTAACAGTTATTAAATGATGAAACAAGCCTAGGTGACGCCGTATGATCTAATAAAAAATGTCTTCCTTTTGTGAAGAATGGCACAAGGGGTCTAACCCACAGAAAGCCGTGACAAATCAACTCCTGATTTACAAAGAGTCTGAGGCAAATCCTCTACACTGAAACTGCTAGTAGATTCCTGTTAATACATACTGCTGCTTGCAGCAGTTTCTTTGCTGCCTGATCTGCTATGTAGCTATTTGTGTCCTGGCAGTGTAACTTACTGTTTTCCACTTGTGATTTCATTTGCTTACATGCTATACAAAATGACCTCACAAGGACAACTGCAAGGCAGAGCCATTGCATTTAAAAGCTCTGTTCCCACATCAGCTTGATGCATCTGACACTAGTGGCTTCTGATTTACTCCCATTCCCTGTATCTTGACAGTTGCTAAAGCACAGCATTTTGTTCAAGTTGTTCTTTTGAATTAAAGTATTTTAGAGCTGTGACTACTATCCTGTCTTTTAAGAAGAAATTCTTGCAGTGGTTGGGAATACAGTGCTATGGCATTTAACTAATGGTTCAGGGGAAAATAAAAATTAAAAAAAATAATAAAAGATTTGTATATTCTTTGGTGTTTTATTAATTTCAGACTAATTCCTGTTCTAGATCTGTTAATTTTACTGAGTTAGCTAAAAATGTTCACTTGAAAAAGTTGCACCCAGTTCATTTTACAGTAGTTTGACTTAGTGTCAGGGGGTGGTGGAAGAAAACAGGCACACATTTCTGTAAGCCTCTGATCTTGTAATCCTCAGTAATATTTGTCTTTACTTTCATGCAACAGAAGACTAAAAACATTTGGTTGTAATAATACAATAAACAATGTCTGAAAAATGTAATTTCAAAAAGATAGCCATTTTAGATTATGGGATTCGTCAAAAAAAAAAAAAAAAAAAAGAGATTATTCTGACAAGAATATTGACAGATCTGACCTGGTCACCGCTTCACAATTCATTCTTTTCCCAGTTGGAGTGGAAACAATAAAGCCCTGATAGCTCTTCCATTACAAGAACCTGCACACTGCATGGTGTATAAAGACTATACAAATGCAATATCCTATATGTAACTTTTCCAGGATGATATGCTTCCTCAAGGACCATGACTAAAGCTGTAGGAACAATGGATTGTTGTGTGTCCAAAATAATAATAATAAAACAGCAACAAGCATTTTAGTTAGCTGCAAGCTCAAGCTTTTACATATTTGGGAAAATGAAAAACAAGTGAACTGCC